TATATATATATATATATATATATATATATATATAAAGATGATCAACTCTCTTTGGATATTCATTACAGTGTTTACTTGGTAATTTCTAATTAGCTAGCACTGGTCCTTTGCTGCGAAAATAAAACGTTCGGTTTCAGTTTTAATCCTGCACAACGTAACTACAGATGAGTATTGGGTTTTGCCTCCATCACCTTCATTGACACGGGCTGAGTATTAATCATGAAGATGTTTGTCTTGCCATTGCTTCTGCATTTATTCCTTTGTATTTGATTTTGCCTTCTTTTTTAGGTTCTTTGTTGCTGGATTAGATATATTATCCTTTACATGCTCTTCTTCACCCACTTAAGATTTCCTTTCACACTTTACGGCTTCCTTTATAACCGAATATTCTTTTTTATTTCTTATTTTCTTTAACACAGATCGCCATCCAGTTTTCTGTACTAAGACCGATTGCTGCAATTTTGTAAGACAATTCTAGTTGAACAAATTCTCTGCCTCCTTCGGATCTGGATATTTAATGATGATCAACATCGGTCTTGCGGTCTTTTTGTCGTCAACTCGATTAATGTTAGCTATAGTCCAGGCAATGATGCTGAAGATCTATTACACCAGAGGGACAGCTAAAGTGTTTATGGCAGATATACTGTTTTGTAAATTCAGGTTTCTATTTAACCCGAGACGCATTCCCCTGTTGTACTTTTTTCTTATTTTCTCTTTCATCTGAGTATGCTGCATTCAATCTCCTTAGCTGAACCCTAGCAATTTCTAATATTCACTTTGTTCCACTCCCTAATGCTTCTATCAAAAGCAAGATCTATTGAGTGGCCGAGTGGTTAGAAAGTTCACACTGTGACAATGAGATACGATTTGTCAGGAAGGAGACTTCGAAATGTTATCGGACTGAACGGTCCGATCACAGCGTTTAGAACATTTGGCAAGTGACCCAAGCCTTGTGAGAGAAATTGGGCAGACGGAAGTACGAAGTCACAAATCGTCGTGGGCAAAGGCTTGAGGGTTCTGAGCTTGCTCAAATTGTTGACCAAGCTAGATAACACGCTCTTTTTCCCAGAAACTGTAAGTAAGTTCTGCTCAGCATAGTTGCAGTATAAACCACAGCTGGGCTCTGTGGGTGTTGAATAAACACAAATGCGCCTGAGCAAGCGTTTGCAGTAGTCAATGGCTAGCCGCCCTAGTAGAAAGGTATCCTCAAATACGAGTGGTTGCCTATGCATACATATTATTGCGTGCATCACTTTCTCGAATGTTACCTATGTACATTTTTTTTGTAATCCGAAGTCCTTACGAATGGCATCACTGAAATATTTCCAGTATTTCAACTCATGGTCTTTGGCAAAAGATTTTGAGCCTGTGCATGTAAAATAAATGATTAAATACACTGTTGATTATTTATTATTATTTGTATCCTTATATTTCCTTTGATTTCTCGTATATACACATTTCTTTCTATGTCCCGCCCAGAGACCAAAGGTCAGAAATAGCCTTCATGATATTTTCCACTGAAAAAAAAAAACAAAAAAAAATATTTTACATAGATAAAATGTATGCATAAGTATGTTGTGGCTTGTACACGTGAAAACAATTTTTTCGTATTTCTTTAAGGCATGGGTTTCCAGGATTCTCCTAATGAGTCTACTGGTATCTTTTCTAACCAATCCGAGGGCTCCAACTACAATAGAGAATGTAGATGTTCCCATGTGCCACACTTTTGATATTTCGAATTTAAGATCCTTGTATTTTGATAGCTCATTGAAAATCTTCAAAGATACATTGCAGCCTTCAGGGATTATTATTATTATTATTATTATTATTATTATTATTATTATTATTTCATTTAGTTTCTAGTGTGTATACATTTCGTTCCGAATCCCACCCAGAGACTTAAGGTTAGAAATCGTATCATGACATTTTCCACTGACACAAGATTAAAAAAAAAATACATAGATAAATCCCTTGGTAAAGTGTGCGCTGTAATCATGAGAATAATTTTTTGTATTTCTATAAGGCATGGGCTTCCAGAGACGGCTTCGATTAGTCTACTGGAACCTATTCTAACCAATCCGAAGGCTCCATCTACAACAGGAATTTTGAGGATCCCTCATGCCTCATTTTTGAGATTTCGAATTCAAGATCCTTGAATTTGATAGCTTATAGATGATCTTCAAAGTCTGCAAGGATTATTATTATTATTATTGAATCCTTTTGTATACTCATTTCCTTCAGAATCCCAATAAGACTTACGATTATAAATGGCATCATGATATTTTCCACTGAAAAATTTTGTAAAAATTTAAAAACAAATTAAAATTAAAATCATACATATTTTACATTGATATAATTTTAAAGATATAATACATATAATACATATTTAATATATACATATAATAAATATAATACATATTTTAAATATACATATAATACATTTTTAATATATACATATAATACATATAATATATATTTTACATTGATAACACTCTTCGTAAGGTGTAAGCTGTACTTGTATTTTTTGTAATTCATTAAGACACGTGAAATCAAGAATCCGTTTAATGAGTCTCTCAGAACATTTTCTAATCTAACGAAGGGTTTCAACCATAACTAGAATTATTTATGTCTTCATGTGCAACATTTTTTTAGAGTTCGTTGTATTTTTAAGATTTTTATACATCCGTCAGGATCTGCAGGAACTGCCATATCAATAAGAAAGCATATTCTGCATCTTGATCAAATGCCAATGCATTTGATCAAGATGCCTGGGCGATTAGCTTTGATTGTTCTGTCTGTGTGAATTGTAACCTCCCATAAAATTGTTACTGCTCTTATCTCTGTAACTGTGTCTAGGTGGCGTTCATACCAATATCTTCAATTTTTTATCCCTAAAATTTACATATTATTATAAATTATCATAAATTGTTACATGACATATATCTCTAACTGGATTATTATTATTATTATTATTATTATTATTATTATTGTTATTTTCTTTGATTTCTGGCGTTTACACATTTCTTTCCGGGTCCCGCCCAGGGACCTAAGGTTAGAAATGGCGTCATGACACTTTCCACTGACAAAAAAAAGGATTAAATTATATAGATAAAGCCCTTCGTAAAGTGTGGGCTGTACTTGTCAGAATAATTTTTTGTATCTCCTTGAGGCATGGACTTCCAGGAATCCCTTCAATTAGTCTACTGCAATCTTTTCCAACCAAACCTAGGGCTCCAACTACAACAGGGATTGTTGATGTTCCCATATGCCACATTTTCGAGATTTCTATTTCAAGGTCCATGTACTTTGACAACTTTTTGAATATCTTCAAAGATACATTGCAGTCAGCAGGGACTGTCATATCAATAAGGAGGCATCGTTTTTGTTTGTAGTCTTTAATAACAATATCTGGCCGGTTGGCCTTGATTGTTCTGTCAGTGTGTATTGTGTAGTCCCATAGAATTGTAACAGGTCCTATCTCCGTAACCGGGTCTGGGTGGTGTTCATACCAGTTTCTTTCAGTTTCCTTCCCGTAGAAGTTGCAGATTTTTCCAGTGCAGATATTGGCCCACTCTGTCATGTCGGGTTTTATATTCAGTGGGAGCCAACACCGTGCAACCTGATAGAAGATGATCAATAGTTTCTGGATTATTATTATTATTATTATTATTATTATTATTATTATTATTATTATTATTATTATTATTATTATTATTATTATATTATTATTATTATATTATTATATTATATTATTATTATTATTATTATTATTATTATTATTATTATTATTACTATTATATTATTATTATTATTATTATTATATTATTATTATTATTATTATATTATTATTATTATATTACTATTATTATTATTACTATTATATTATTATTATAATATTATATTATTATTATATTATTATTATTATTATTATATAATTATTATTATTAATATTATATTATTATATTATTATTATTATTATTATTATTATTATTATATTATTATTTATTATTTTTATTATTATTATTACTATTATATTATTATTATTACTATTATTATTATTATTATTATTATTATTATATTAGTATTATTACTATTATAATATTATATTATATTATTATTATATTATTATTATTATTACTATTATATTATTATTATTATTATTATATTATTATTATTATATTATTATTTATTATTATTATTATTATATTATTATTATTATTATTACTATTATATTATTATTATTATTATTATTAATATTATATTATTATTATTATATTATTATTATATTATTATTATTATTATTTTTATTATTATTATTACTATTATTATTATTATTATTATTATTATTACTATTATTATTATTATTACTATTATTATTATTAGGCAGGTCGTGGTTATATTATTTTTTTTTTTTTTTTTTTTTTCCGATGGATTACAAATTATTATTATTATTATTGTTGTGTTCCATTTTTTTATTATTATTATTATTATTATTATTATTTTTTATTTATTTCCAGGTTTTTTTGTATTTTGATAGTTTTTTCAAATTCCTTGGTTACCTATACTGGCTGGCTCCAATTAGTAGGCAAGTTTTTTTCTTTCTGGTTTTGACAATAATGTCCGGCCTATTTGTTTCAATTTTTCTGTCTGTGTGGATGGTATAATCCCACAGAATGGTGACTAACCGATGTTTGCTCATACCTTCATCCTGAGATTTTCTATTGTTTTTTTCAAAGAACATTTTTGGATTTTTTTTTATTTTTTGTAATATTCTATTATTATTTATTATTAAAGCCCTTATCGAAAACTGTTGCTTAATTCCATTTTTTGAACAGTATTTTATTCGTTTCTGTCATTCTTTTTCTTCAAAAGAAAAGGGTATTTGTTATTTTGTTTTGTTAAGTCTTAACAGCTTCAGATGTGAGTGCGTTGTCAAGCTAATAATGTTATAGAAAAATAATTTCCGATTATTCTAATTATAAGTTGTAACCACATATATGTCAATACTGGCATACTTCTGTGTATGCCGGCTGTGGGGGGTGTGCGCGCGCAGACGTTGATGGAGGTAAATTTCGATGTAAACGTCGAGAAAGATCTGTCTACGAAGATTAAGTTATTATGATATAAATCTAAAAAGAGTCAGTCGGAAAGAGGAAGATGACGCCAATCATTTTTTAAATAAGACCTGGCCGGCTTTTGTAAAATAATCTATATTAGAAAACATTGCTTTGAACTCTCTTGTAACATAAATGATAAAGGCATAAATGCATCAGGGGAGATCTCACTTACGATCTTTCTATTAATGACTCATTCTTTTTCTCTCGTAAATATTTTTATATATATATATATATATATATATATATATATATATATATATATATATGGCGAGAGGGGAGAGAAAAAGAAATACATATATCAATAAAGAAATAGAGAGATACTGTGGGACAAGAAAATGTTACCGTTGGTTACAACCTGTACAATGCGAGATATACAAATAATACAAAATGGGTGAGATGAATAAACAGAAGATAGATAGATAGATAGATAGATAGATAGATAGATAGATAGATAGATAGATAGATAGTAAGGAACAGACTGAGAAACGCATAGATAGATAGATAGATAGATAGATACGGATAGACTGGGATAGAAAAATATTTATTAACAGATTTGAATAGATAGATAGATAGTAAGGGGCAGACTGAGAGACGGACAGATGGATCGATAGATAGATAGATAGATAGATAGATAGATAGATAGATAGATAGATACGGATAGACTAAGATACACAAATATTTATTAACAGATTTGAATAGATAGATAGATAGATAGATAGATAGTAAGGAACAGACTGAGAGACGGACAGATAGATAGATAGATAGATAGATAGATAGATAGATAGATAGATAGATAGATAGATACAGATAGACTGGGATATACAAATATTTATTAACAGATTTGAATCGATAGATAGATAGATAGATAGATAGATAGATAGATAGATAGATAGATACGGATAGACTGGGATATACAAATATTTATTAACAGATTTGAATCGATAGATAGATAGATAGATAGATAGATAGATAGATAGATAGATAGATAGATACGGATAGACTGGGATATACAAATATTTATTAACAGATTTGAATCGATAGATAGATAGATAAATAGATAGATAGTAGATAGATAGATAGTAAGGAACAGACTGAGAAACGCATAGATAGATAGATAGATAGATAGATAGATAGATAGATAGATAGATAGATAGATAGATAGATAGATACGGATAGACTGGGATAGACTGGGATAGAAAAATATTTATTAACAGATTTGAATAGATAGATAGATAGTAAGGGGCAGACTGAGAGACGGACAGATGGATCGATCCATAGATAGATAGATAGATAGATAGATACGGATAGACTAAGATATACAAATATTTATTAACAGATTTGAATAGATAGATAGATAGATAGATAGATAGATAGATAGATAGTAAGGAACAGTCTGAGAGACGGACAGATAGATAGATAGATAGATAGATAGATAGATAGATAGATAGATACGGATAGACTGGGATATACAAATATTTATTAACAGATTTGAATCGATAGATAGATAGATAGATAGATAGATAGATAGAATCAGACAGGAAAACGCTACGTTTGGTTATCAGGTGCACAAGGTGCGATACACAGATATATACCTAAAGAGGTAGATAATTATTCATTATAAGTTGATACATACGGACAAACAATTACACACGACAAAAGTGCATACTTGTTTTGATGCGGAAGCATCTCAAATGAGAAACAAATATGGTTCTAAACGATTTCATTTAACAATGCTACTTATGAAACATCACCTCCTTTTCATATTATTCAAATTTCTTTTAAAGACATAAGTAAAAACATCATAAAATCAAAAAAAAGAAATATATTAAAAAAAATTCCATAAAAGGAAAAGAATAAATAATAATATAATTAAAGCAGGTTAAACCAAAAAGAAAAGAGATAAGAAGAAAATAAAAAGAAAAATAAAAGAAGAAAAATAAATATAAAAGTTAAGAGTAATTATAGAGATGGATAGATAGATAAATGTATATTGATATTTAGAGTTTCTATTATTTCAGTCTTATTTTGTATTCGATGACAAATTATTATTTCTGTTACATTTATTCTTATTTTACTTTCCTTTTAATCCAAAACAAATATATAAATATTACGCGTTTGTTCCTAATAGTTGCATTATGTTATCTAGAATTTGACATTTACTTAATATGAATCTAATATTGTTTTATATATTTGCATCAATTATAATAATTCACAAACATAAAATAAATCGAAAATAGAAAACATTTATCAATCGAACATGTTTCATTTTCATGAAAGCTTGGAAAGAGATTGAGAGGAAAAAAACATGGAGGAAGAAAAACATGAAAGATTTGAACATCGTTTGCAAGAAAATATTGGCCAAGTGTTGGGCAAGATTTTATGAGAATGTTTCCGAAAAGCGAATAAATCTTTACAAAGACGTCTTCGAGCAACAGGTGTGCAAACCAAATTCTGCATATATATATATATATATATATATATATATATATATATATATATATATATATATATATATATATATACTACTAATACTCGGAGCAAAACTTCAAAGTCAATCAAAACAAATTGCAACCCGTGGAAATAACTGGAAAAAAAAGAAAGAACTTAAAACATCCGTACAGGGCGAAACAAATCGTCCCGTGCTTTAAGGTTTTAGTCCAAAGAAAACAAAAACAAGCGCGTAGTAATAATTCCTGGCTCTTTAGGATTTATTTCATATATATATATATATATATATATATATATATATATGTGTGTGTGTGTGTGTGTGTGTGTGTGTATTTGTGTATATATATATATATATATATTTATATATATATATATTTATATATATGTGTGTGTGTATATATATATATATATATATATATATATATATATATATATATATATATATATATATATATAAATGTACGCATTTCCTGCGTTCTGACGTTTTATTTTCATTTAGTAAGAATAGGAAATACAAATCTTTTCCGTAATTTCCATTGCATTTTCAGATGTTTAAAAGATCTTTCGACCATTTCTTTAGCCATTTTCAAGATGGTTTTATAAATTCAACTTTTTCAGTAACATTCATGAGGAAAAGACTAACAACACCACACAAAAAACCCTCTTGAAAATACGAAATATTTGTACTCCCTTACTCCTGCCAAATAGAAAAACGGGAGTATACTGGAAAAAGTAAATAAAAAAATAATTAAATCTTCCCTGTTTGCTTATTTAACGATTTATACATACATATATATATATATATATATATATATATATATATATATATACCTGCGTAACAGAGAAATTGTCCAAATTAATCCCTGAAACGTTGTATTTTAAACGTGATTAACGATATCTTACTGCATTTTTCCGAGGTTTTTAGAACATCATTGGCCTGTACTTTGAGTAATAAGAATGCATAATTATTCTATAAGCGTAACAGAAGAATCGTGATGAAATCGATCATAAACGTAAATGACATATTCATCATTAATTAATCATGGCTAAAGATACAACGTTCATTAAGAATTGAAATAAAGTTCAAAATTTATATATTATTACAGGAAGATTATCTTCGCCCTCTCTAACCTTCTAACTTTCTGTTCTGGAGTAACACGTTTTAAGTATGATTTCATTTTCAAGTCTTTGTTCACTGTTCTTTGGACTGTCATAGCTCTCATGTGCCAAACGACTTATGCATTGAGTTTGATCTTTTCTAACTGATCTCTTTCTCTCCATGTTGAAGTATGTATGTTGATACCATTAATAAAGGCTTGAATGACATTTTTTCCTCTGACCACTTTGCACCATTCCCACTATATAAGGGGTTTTTTTCATTGATTCTTACGACAAATGGTATCAGGATGACTAAACGTTTTATGTGAAAACCTGGAAGAAAGAAACACAATTAGTTTAGTGATTTTTAGATATTAAACATTTTGTTGGATATATAACTATGCTGTTACACGATTTGGACAATTTTACTATTGCATCCGGTATATATGTATAAGAAAACCATATATATTTCTATATATCAAAACAATATTGGGGGAAAATGAGTCGCATATCTATTAAAATAAGTATGGAAAGAAAAAGTAAAAAGAAATCGGATAGATTAAAAAAAAAACATTCAAAATTCCCAGCATCCTTTTTTCGTGCGCATGTGTAGTTGCGTAAACAAAACATATTTAGTCTGATGAAGAGTGAAAGAAGGAAACGCGTCACAAGTAATTTTTTTCTATTTTATCATATACTAGCAGTAGAGCCCGGCGTTGCCCGGGGATGTAACAGTAAGAGATAGATCAAGTATCGACCATCATAAAGACTGAAAAATAAAATTGACAAAGATTATTGCTTAAGGTTGACGGACACGCATGTCTTAATTCTTTTTTTTTCTTTTTTTTTTTTTACGAATTGGTCAAACCCAAACTCAAACAAAAATATTGTTTTCAATCGTTATGAGTCTCTATCGACTGAATAGAATGTTATTATAAACAATTGTCTTGTAAAAGGAGTTTTTAAAGCATTCTGAATGTAAAAATAAAGAAAAAAGTGTGCAAGACAATAAGAAACACTATCTGCCAAAAAAAAATGAAGTTTTTTTTTTAAATCGGTTGAAAAATGTAGGAAATCCGATCCCATATATAAACGAACAAAAAAACCCTCGGGTTTATAATAAGTATAACACGATATAAGTTGTACCCCTTTCATTCTCGCAATGCCTCTTAATCGTGTTTTCAAATTGATTTCGTTCAAAAACAATTGTGTTTTTCCGATTTTTGGCGCTGCCAGAACCACCGCAAGGTAATTTTATGTAGTCCTGTGAAGTTTTGTTGAAACCAGTTGAAAAATGTAGGAAATCCGATCCAATATATAAACGTAAAGACACACGC